TTTAATCTTATTGATTCCCTTATGATTTCTCTTTCATATTTACCTTTTAATGCTTCTCTTGAGTCTTGTATTTCAAAGGCAGTTTTTCTATTCAGCTCTGGTCTTTTCATCAGGAATGCTTGAAAGTCCTCTATTTCATTAAATATCTATTTTCCCCCGAATCAGTTTTGCTGGATAGGTTATCTTTGGTTGTAATCCTAGTTCCTTTGCCCTCCAGAATATCATATTCTAATCCCTGTAACACTTTAATGTGGAAGCTGCTAAATCTTGTATAATCCAACTGTGGCTCCATATTTGAATTATTTCTTTCTGGCTGCTTGCAATATTTTCTTCTTGGCCTGGGAGCTCAATAATTTGTCTGTAATATTTCTGGGAGTTTTATTTTGGGATCTCTTTTAGGAGGTGATTGGTGGGTTCTTTAAGTTTTTGTCTTACCCCCTGGTTCTTGGATATCAGGGCAGTTTCCTTGTTACTTTCTTGGAAGGTGATGTCTAGGCTTTTTTTTTATGTTCATGGCTTTCACATGGTCCAATAACTCTTGAATTATTTCTCCTAGATGTATTTCTAGGTCAGTTGTTTTTCCAGTGAGATATTTCACATTTTCTTCTATTGTTTTTGTTCTTTTGGGGGTTTTTTAATTGTTTCTTGAAGTTTCATGGAATCATTATCTTCCACTTACCCAGTTCTAATTTTTGAGGAATTATTTACATCAGTGAGCTTTTGTACCTCCTCTTCCATTTGGCCACTTCTGCTTCTTAAGGAGTTCTTTTCTTCAGTGAATTTTTGTACCTCTTTTATCAGTAGGCCAGTTCTGTTTTTTAAAATACTATTTTCTTCAGTATTTTCTGTGTCCATTTTACTAAGCTGTTGACTCCTTTCATAATGTTCTTGTACAGTTTTTCCTCTTCTCTCTTATTTGATTTTTAAAATCCTTTTTTGAGCTCTCCCAGGAATTCTTTTTGAGTGTATAAACATTCACATTTTCCTTTGAGACTTTGAATGTAGATGCTTTGACATTGTTATCTTCTGGGTTTATGTCTTGATCATCCCTATCGCCATAGTAACTTGTTATGGTCAAGTTCTTCTGGTTGTTGTTTGCTCATTTTTTCCAGACTATTCCTTGACTTATAACTTATGTGAATGTTAAAGCTTTGTTCCTGGAGTGGAGGGGGCCAGTGTCTCAAGCTTCAGGCCTTTCTTGCTTTTGTTTTCAGAGCTAGCTCTGGAGGTTTGTATGTTTTTAGTGTTTCCAGAATGGTATGATCTAAGGAGAGGTGTGGTCACTGCCCTTCTGATCTATGCTCTGGTCTTTACTCAGGAAGGGACATTGTTTCTTTGCAGCCACCAGCAGCAGCACTCCTCTTAGCCCTGAGAACTGAGATGGTGTCTCCCACACTCCTTCAGCTCCCCATTTGGAATTGAGACCAGGGTCCCTATCCCCTTGCCTTATAAGTGACCTTAGCATTTCTCTCTACCCTGGAACCATGACCTGGGCCCTTGTTCTCCTCTGCCCATTGCTATCATGCCTTTTGGCCCTGAGGCTGCAGCCCAGAACTGTATATAGACAATGCAGCAAGGGAATCAGCTTTAGCAAAAGGTCCCTTGCAATCTCCTTTCAACTAGTTGTCTGACCCACCCTCCCACCCCCACTGTCCATAGTCTTAGAGTTTCTGAAGCTGCTGCCAATGCAGCTACCTCCAAGACCTTGCACAGCACCTGGCCCCAGCACCTCACACTGTATTTTTCTTACAGTAAGCACTTAATACATGTTTCTAGTTGAATTAATTGAATCTGTTGTTCATTGGATAATGTCCTCACATTTAAAATGCCTAACAGTGAAGGTAATGTTATTGTCTGTAAATCTTGTGATTCTTGGCACCCCTGCCCCCTTTTCTATAATCCTCAGCATGGGATTGAGGACCATTGGTTGTTGTTGTTGTTTCATAGGTGGCCATGGCCAGCCTAGTGGTGAAGAGCCTCTCTGTCTCTGGTTCTGTTGGTCTCAGAAAGCTGAGACCATCAGAAGTCCATCTCTGGGACCACGCTCTATTCTTATAGAATGTGCCATAGTTCCTGTTCTGTTTGCATATCCTCCAAGAATCCCTGCCACAATGAGACATGTGGTGGGTAAAAGATGCAATGACTGAGGAAACAAAGGTTTGGGCTTCAGACATCAAAGTAGAACTTTTAGAGGCAGTTCTATTCAGTAAGAGTTAACAGAAGGGATTAACTAATTTATTCTGTTGTTAAGACTAACTGCCAAGACTGATGTAATTATAGAACTTTGTTTATTAAAACATTTCTAACCTTCAGTATATTTTTTGCTTCTTTTGTATTCCTTATTATATGTAGTCATTTTTAAGTACAAAATACCTACTTAGCAAAATGTTATTTTCATTCAACAAAACAGATTTGTATGAACCATCTGCTAAATGTCACAAAGGGTAAGGACTAAGAAAAGACCAGTGGATTCAGCAATTAAGAGGTCATTAGCAACCTACAAGAGAGCTATTTTAGTAGAGTAGTAGGAATAGAATTCCTGGTGGTTGTGGAGTGACTTATGGTGAGTAGATATAGGCAAAGAATTTCTCAAAGTTAAGCAATGAGAGGGAGGTGAGACCCAGAACAATCATTTAAGAAGATAGAAGGGCTAAGGGAAGATTGAAGAAACTAAGAGAGTGAAAAATCAAAAGACTGTTGTGCCCTATGAGGATCAGTTGATATTTAACCTAAAGAAGAAATGAATTAGGGAAGAACATGATAGCTACCATCAACTATTAGAAAAGCAGTCTTGTAGAAGAAGGCTTAGATTTATTCTCCTTGGCGACAGAGAGTATAACTAGGAGTAATGGGCATAAGTTGCAGAGGAGCAGGTTTATACTTAATATAAAGAAAGTACTTTCTATTAATTAAAGATCTCCAAAAGCAGAATGAAATGCCAGTGGAGGCAGCGCGTTCCCCCTCACCAGAAATCTTCAAACAAAGGCAGGATGACCACTCATAGATTTAAAGGTGATCAATAATGGGTTAGAATAGATGGCATCTAGAGGATCTTCCTGACAATTATTTTGTGAAAATGAGAGTGTGAGCATGGAAACACCAAGGGAACAAGGTCCTGCATTAGATAGGAGGATCAGATTAAGGGCCAGACTGATAAGGTTTACTTTTTCAAGGAGTATGCTACTTTGTCCCCTATGACTAGAGCAAAGGATGAATGACTGTATCAAAAACTTTTGAGATGTAGCAGAAGGGAAATGAGGAAGTTCCTAAGTCTTCTCCATATAGTAGCAAGCAAGGTCAGCTGCTGAGAGACAACAGTGTAGGGATGGAGCTTGGGGCTGGAGTTAGAAGGTTGTGGGGAGTATGAGACTGAGCAGAGCCATAACTTACAATTTTGATATCTGGTACAGGCAGCATAAAACCCACTTTCAGATCAACAACACTTCTTTCCTCTCTTTTATAGCTGCAAATAGTGGTTAAATAGAGATAGAGATGGAAGTAATGTGCAATGAGAAGACTGAGGAACTTCAATTCAACAAGTATTTATCAAGCACTTACTGTGCGCCAGGCATGTGCTGGGATACAGAGGCAAAAATGAACCTCAAGAAGCTTGACTTGGAGTCAACATCATTTATCCAGAAAGAAAAACAAAATACATGCAAAGTAATTTTGGCATTGAGTGGGAAGAGCTATAACAACTGAGGGAATCAGGAAAGGCCTCACATAGCCATAGCAAGTGAATCTTGGAGGGAGCTGGGGAGTCCAAGAGCCCAGGTGAGAAGGGAAAGAGTTCTAGGAATGTCTGAGGAATGGCCTGTGCAAAGGCTTGAAGGCAGGAGATGGAATTTGGGGCATGGAAAACACCAAGTAGTCCAGTTTTGTTAGGATAGAGAGAGTGCGTGTGTAGTGGATGGGGCTGGGGGTGGGGGAGGTGGAGGAGATGAAATCTGAAAAGACAGGTGAAAACCCAATATGAAAAGCTTTCAATGCCAGAGGACCTTCTATTTTATCCTAGAGACAGTTAAAAAAAAACCCACCTTTTTTATTTTGTAAGGTGATTGGGGTTGAGTGACTTGCCCAGAGTCACACAGCTAGTGAGTATTAGGTGTCTGAGAACAGATTTGAACTCAGGTCCTCCTGACTTCAGGGCCAGTGCTCTATCCACTGCGACACCTAGCTGCCCAGAAAAACCCATCTTTTTCAACAGAGGTATGACATGGTCAGATCTATGTTTTAGGAATATTAATGTGGCAGCTTTTGTGGAATGTGAATTGATAGAAACAAGATCAGTTAGGAGAGGATTGCATTAGTCCCTGTGGGAAATGACTTTAATGGAACTGGACTTATCAACAATCTTCTTTTTTCCTATACTGGTACTTTTTACCTTAACTCTACATACAATCTGTTACCACTTATCACCACCAGACTTGTGTATGGTATGCAGGACACTTGAACAGTTATCTGTCCTTCTTTAAAACACTATCACTGAAGGTATGTCTAGAGATATACATATATAAATATGAAAAAACATGTGCATACAGGTATAGGAATTGAACAGATTCATAAAATATTTACTCTATGTAGAGTGGCATGCATTTTTTTTCATTGTCTTTTGTAGTGCTCTGATCAGGCAGAAACAGCTTTAACAGCTATTTTCTCCTACTCACAGGAAGAATTTGGGGTTAGTTTGGTTACACTGTCAGAGCCGAGTGGAGAAGGTTATACAGTTTACTTTTTCTCTTGATTTGTTACCTGGATCTCTGTGAAAAGACACCTCCTTCTGTCCTTGACTGTTTCTCAGAGCAGACCCTAATTAGATCAACATAGCAGGGTGGTCAGGCCACTCTCCATGTGGCAAACTGATGCTTGTGTTTTGTTGTTGGGAAGCTGTCACTTGAATAAATGATCTGTTGAGAGCTTATCAACTGCATAAGCAGTTTCCCCTCCTGTCCCCCAGCCAGGAATTTTGAGTAATTTCTTTCTCTTTCCATTCCCTTAAGCTTGGAAAAAATGCAGAAAGACTCCAGTGTGGAAAAGGAACCAGTTCCCCCTGCTTCTCTTCTTCATAAGCCCTGTGCTCCTGCTGTGACCCGTACTGACCACATCTGGCACTATGATGAAGAGTACCTCCCAGACGCTTCTAAGCCTGCGTCTGCCAACTCTCCAGAGCAGGCAGATGGTGGTGGGAGCAATGGATTCATAGCTGTCAACCTGAGCTCCTGCCAGCAGGAGGTTGATTCCAAGGACTGGGTGATTGTGGACAAGGAGCGGGACCTTCATGATTTCAGGACGAATGGGGCTTTAGGGCATAAAACTGGAAGCCCTTCAGATGAGGAACCTGAGGTGCTGCAAATCCTCGAGGAATCTCCTCAAGAAGAACAGCATAAACTAGGTCCTTGGGTAGAAGATGATCATAAAAAAAATGGAGCCCCCAGTGTGGTCTTGGCACTGTCGGTGGCGTGTCCTGCCACTGCAGCATCAGAGCAATATGCAGATAGACTAGAACTCCAGACTGGAGCTGCGGGCCAGTTTCTTGCAGCCACACCCACCAGCCCAATGGAGGCTCAAGCAGAAGGACCTCTCACACCAGTAAGTAATGTGTTCATCTTCCATTCACCCTGTTCTCCATTTAGGATGATCTAAGACAAGCACTAATTATTTCTCCTCTAAAATCCTTCTGCAGTGACTGAGCTCTGGAAGGGGACATATTGAACTGAATTTTGAAGTTAATTCCTCTTAATTACTTAATTAAAATAAAATAGTTTTAATAGTTTGAATATCTTTTATTTAGGAAACAATATAGAATTTCATGGGTTCATAGATCTAGAGCTGGAAAGGACATTATAGGTCATCTAGTTCTTTTTCAGATGAGAAAACTGAGGCTTAGAGGTTAAGTGACTTGCTCAGGGTCATTCAGGCACTAAGGCAGAGCCAGGATTCAAACCAACACGCCCAGCTCCAAGCTCAGGACTGTCCAATGAGAGTCCATCCCCATTGGCTCTTACTTGTCATCTTGGAGGCATCTGCAGCCCCCAGGAACCAATCAGAAGAATTCCCTCTGTTCTCTGAGTGGGGGGCTAGGGAGCCCATCTACAACCCCTGGTATATGAGGAATAGTAAGATACCCCACAGAAAGTATGTAAGGAGGCAATTAGTTCTGCCCAAAGCCTAATGGTCAGTAGTTGAAAAGGGCCTCTATGATGATTTTTAACATTTATGGCAAGAGAAAACTCTAGATTTGATATGGACCCATGTCTTCTCTCCCCAGATAGTAGTAGGAACAGAGAAGAAGTGTCACATTCACATCAGTTATGTTCAGAGGAACATACTGTCAATCAAGACGTGGACCTGGAAAGTGTAAGCAAGTAGCCACTGGAGTGTACAGAGTTGTAATGTAGGGGACTGTACATAAGCAGTGTATGGTATCACAGGCCTGATCTAACTTAATGACTTCTACTTTTCTTCTGAGACCTTATAGCTTAGTTCCTTTGATCACGTTATGGTTTTCAATGCCACTACTTCTCCTCCCAGCTTAAATTAATGTACATACCTTTATAAAGATTAGTGTAGTTTTGGGTGTAACCCAGTATTCCCAGGCTCTGGGCTTACACAAACTGGGTTCAGTTGGCACCTTCTTAAAAGTATTAGTCTTTGGTTCATATTACCCTCACCCAGAATTGCCCCTTGGAAATATCAGACTGTAGCTTGACTAGAGATGTCAGTAAAATAGATATCAGTAAAAGGGTTCTTATATCTATACAAACACTTAAGGTAAAAATGCATGGATCTGGCTCAGGAGAGCTTTCATTTTACACTGCACCCCCAGAAAATACAGAAAATATTATACAAAGGACTTTCAGTAGTCCATAAAGAAATATAATTCTTCTCCCCAGTGAGTTCCAGCTTTTCTCAGTGCCTATATATTGCCTCATTTGTATAGCAGCTTGGGTCTAGGACTTTCTTGGGGTGGCAAACACTTAAGTTTGCTAAGGAGCCAAGTTCCCAACATTCTGGTGAGTCCCACTTCCCAACTGAGACCAATACAGGCATCTAGCCTTATGGTCTTATTATGACAGGTTAGACTCCCCCTGGAAGGAAACCACACTTGGAGTTGCTGGAAAGTCAAATTCCCTTTCCATTTGACTTGAAATGTCCAGATAATTCAAAGTAATTGCAAAGGGCAAATTCCAGGGCAGCTAGGTGGCACAGTGGATAGAGCGCTGGCCCTGGAGTCAGGAGGACCTGAGTTCAAATGTGGTCTCAGACACATAACACTCATTAGCTGTGTGACCCTGGCCAAATCACTTAACCAAAAAAAATAAAAGGGCAAATTCCAGGTCTTTTAGACCTCTGTGTTATGATCTAAACTCCCTGGCTGCTCCACCAGTTTCAGGAGGAAATGTCTTCCATTTTACATTCTCAATCTCCTTTCTCCAAGAAACAGGTGCTAACCAGTAACTCATCTTTCATTCAAAGGCTAGATTCCAGAACTCTTGGACTTGGGGTTTCTAGAATGGTAACTGTAAGGCTGATGCTATTCAGAAAATATCCTCTCACCTATTCCTAAATAATTCAGGACTCCTTCTAACTGCCCTAATAATGATAAAGTTCTTAGGAGTTATATGGATCATGTTTCCATATAGGAATGCAAACAGTTAACTGTATTGAGTCGCTCATGATACTCTTTCATGTTTATTTTTTTATGCTTCTCCTGAGCCTTGTGTTTGAAAGTCAGATTTTCTGTTCAGCTCTGGTCTTTTCATGAGGAATGCTTGAAAGTCCTCTGTCTCATTAAATATCCATTTTTTCTTCTGAAGGACTGTACTCAGTCATGCTGGGTAGCTTATTCTTGGTTGTAATCCTAGTTCCTTTGCCTTGCAGAATATCACATTCTAAGCCCTCAGCAACTTTAACATGGAAGCCACTAAATCTTTTGTGATCATGACTGTGGCTTCATAATATTTGAATGGTTTCTTTCTGGCTGCTTGCAGTATTTTCTCCTTGACTTGGGAGTCTGGGATTTGGCTGCAGTATTCTTGGGAGTTTTCATTTTGGGATCTCTTTCAGGAAGTGGTCCATGGATTCTTTCTTTTTCTGTTTTACTTGGTGGATGAAAGATAGCAAGGAAGTTCTCCTTAATCATTCCTTGAAATATTATGTCCAGGCTCTTTTTTTTTTTATTGTGGCTTTCAGGTAATCAAAAAATTCTTCATTTATCTCTCCTCAACCTCTTTTCCAAGTCATTTGTTTTTCCAGTGAGATATTTCACATTTTCCTATTTTTTGACTTTGTTTTAATGTTTCTTGATGTCTCATGAAGTCATTAGCTTCCACTTTCCCAGTTCTGATTTTTAAACAATTATTTTCTTCAGTAAGTTTTTATTTAGCCTATTCTGCTCTTTAAGGGGTTCTTTTCTTTTTTTCTTCTGTCACTGATTCTCTTTATTTTTTTCATTTTTTTTTTAATTTATTTAGTTTTCAACAATCACTTCCATAAGCTTTTGAGTTTTAAATTTTCTCCCCCTCCTCTCACCTCCCTCCCCAAGATGGCACACAATCTGATATAGGCTCTACATATGCATTCCTATTAAACATATTTTCACATTAGTCATGTTGTAAAGAAGAATTAGAACTAATAGGAGGAACCACCAGAAAGAGAAAATGAAACAAAACAGAAGAAAAAAACCAGCAAATAGTATGCTTTGATCTGCATTCAGACTCCATAGTTGTTTCTCTGGATGCGAATAGCATTTTCCATCATGAGACTTTAGGAGATGTCTTAGATCCTTGCATTGCTGAGAAGGGCTAAGTCTATCAAAGTTAGTCATCGTATAGTGTGGCTGTTACTGTGTATGATGTTCTCCTGGTTCTGCTTATTTCACTCAGCATCAGTCCATACAGGTCTTTCCAGACTTTTCTACAGTCTGCTTGCTTATCATTTTTTATAGCGTAATAGTATTCCATCACATGCATATACTACAACTTGTTCTGCCATTCCCCAATTGATGGGCATCCCTTCAATTTCCAATTCTTTGCCACCACAGAAAGAGCTGCTATAAATATTTTTGTACATGTGGGTCCTTTTCCCATTTGTATGATCTCTTTGGGATACAGTCCTAGAAATGGTATTGCTGTGTCAAAGGGTATGAACATTTTTATAGCCCTTGGGGCATACTTCCAAATGGCTCTCCAAAATGGTTGGATCAGTTCACAACTCCACCAACAACATATTAATGTTCCAGTTTTCCCAAATCTTCTCCAGCATTTATCCTTTTCCTGTTTTGTCATGTTAGTCAACCTGATAGGTATGATGTGGTACCTCAAAGTTGTTTTGATTTACATTTGTCTAATCAATAGTGATTTAGAGCATTTTTTCGTGTGACTATAGATAGCTTTAATTTCTTCATCTGAAAACTGCCTGTTCATATCCTTTGACCATTTATCAATTGGGGAATGACTCATATTCTCATAAATTTGACTTAGTTCTCTATATATTTTGAGAAATGAGGCCTTATGAGAGACACTAGTTGCAAAAATTCTTTCCCAGTTTTCTGCTTCCCTCCTAATCTTGGTTGCATTGGCTTTGTTTGTGCAAAAACCTTTCAATTTAATGTAATCAAAATTGTCCATTTTGCATTTCATAATGTTCTCTATCTCTTGTTTGGTCACAAATTCTTCTGTTTTCCATAAATCTGACAGGTAAACTATTCCTTGCTCTCCCAGTTTGCTTATAGTATCAGCCTTTATATCTAAATTGTGTACCCATTTTGGCATTATTTTGGTATAGGGTGTAAGATTTTGGTCTATACCTAGTTTCTGCCATACTCCTTTCCAGTTTTCCCAGCAGTTTTTGTCAAACAGTGAGTTCTAGTTCTTTTCTTAAGTGAATTTTTGTGCCTCTTTTACCAACCTGTTAATTCTCTTTTCTTAATTTTCTTGCATCACTCATTTCTTTTCCCAAATTTTCCTCTACCACTTTTATCTCTTTCTTTAACTTTTCAAGGAATATTTGTTGGGTTGGGGTTCAATTAGCATTTTTCTTTGAGGCATTGCATATAACCGTTTCATGATATTGCATTCTAATTTTGTGTTTGGTCTTCCCTGTAGTAAGACCAAACACTTTGGAAGTAACATTTTATGGTCAGATTTCTTTTTTGTTGTTGTTTGCTGATTTTCTCAGCCGATTTCTTGACTTTAACTTTATGTTAAAGTTGGGCTTTGCTCACCTGGAGATGAGGAGGCACTGTCCTAAGCTTCAGGCCTTTTTTATTTTTGTTTTCATAGCTAGTTCTGAAGGTCTGCAAGTTTTGGCATTTCCAAGGTATGTGATTTAGGGAGAGGTGTGGTTACTGTTTTTGTGGTCTGCATGCTAGCCTTTACCTAGGAAGGGCTCTGTTCTCCTGCAGCTACAAGCACTAGTGTTCCTTTCTGCCTTGGAACTGTGAACAGGGTCCCTGCTCCCATGTGACCAATCACAAGTATTCCTCTCTGGCCTGGAACTGTGACCTGGAACTGTGTATGAATCAGTGCCAGCTGCACCCAGCATCAGCAGTGGGTCCCCTATAATCTCTTTCTGATCAGTAATCCAAC